CTGAACATTACAGTAGAGGCTTTAATCAGAATTTAACAGTTTATTGTGTTCCTTAAACTTGTAAGTAAAATTGTTGTTTGGAAAATGAAGATGTTTCTTGGTCATGAGAATGATCTGGATATTTTGACCAAAACATATGTTCCCATGCCAGCTCCCTGGAAGTTCTGATTCAGTGCTCAGTTGCAGTGATACCAGGAAGACAGACACCACAGAGCTTTAAAATATTGGCACAGACATCCCATGTGTTCAGTCAAATAAGCAGTGGGACCCAAGCATACCTAACCATCAGTGGTTCCAAGCCCCCAAAGTAATCCCATTATATAGTTCGTTGATTGTGAAATACTACCTTATATGTGGTCCTTTTAAAATGCCTCAGAGTGCTTTTTTTTTGGTAACTAAATAAAAAGTTTACAAATCATTGCTTAAAATTTTTTCCAGCATCCAATACTTACTTTTCTTTTGCAGAGTCCCAAATGAAGCCATTTAGGATGATATTCACTTTTAAGCCTAAGTTGAATCATAATAATATAAATAAATCTTCAAATTATATTATGAGAATAGTTGTGTGCCTCCCTCTGATACAGCAAAATGGGTTTTGAAAGTAGTCTAATTTTATCTAGTATTTCTCCATGTCTTCTATTTTTAAATCCTAATGACCTCATTCAGAAGCACAGAGAGAGAGAGAGAGAGAGAGAGAGAGAGAGAGAGAGAGAGAGAGAGAGAGAGAGAGAGAGCGCAAAAAGAAAAAGAAAAAAAGAGCCCAGAGTTAGATGGCTTCATACATCAGCTTGGGTAGGATGACATAGACTAGAAGTAGGCCAGATAAATGTAAAAAATTGTGTGTACAAAATGGAAAGCTTTCTCTAGATTTTTAAAAGAATAATCTCAGTTGTTTGAGACAAGTGTCTCACATATCTTGCTGTAGTTGAACTGTGTGTTATCCAATAATTCCATGAGGGATTTGGAGGGTTTAGTAAGACAGTGTGGACTGTAGGAAGATGCATGAAAGAATACATACTTATTGTTTCTCATGTTATCTTTTATAATACCTCCTCTTTTAGAATACTGTCGTCACTTTAATGATTTTTTTAAAAAAATGATATACTTCTTGCTGTTGATGATTTTGCAAAGCTAAGTAAGTACGTTTGGAACGAGGCCAGAGGAACATGATGGATTTCATTTGGTTACATAAATAATGTTTGTGAAGGAGGTAGAGTGTAAAGTCTTAAAAAAAGAAAGAAAAGAAGAAAGAAAAAGATAGCTTGGAACCTGTGGCTTAGGCACACTTGAAGGAAAAAGCTCACTTCAGAATTAAGTGAGACTCCAGACTAGCTCATCAAAAAGTTCTGAAGGAACTGAAGAAATGAAGGTCTTCGGGACATCTTGATGGAAAGACTAGATATTCACTAATTAAAGCCCTGATGCTGTTGTGGTATTTGGGCCCCCCCCCCCCCGTTTTTCTCTTTCTTTTTTCCCCTGTTTGCACATTAAATGTGACCATGAGAATATATAAGATTTTGCAGTTGTCCCTAGCCAGACCCTCTATTAAGTTCTAGACCCTGTGGAGCTGTGTAGGGACTGCTTTGAGGAGGTGATCTCCAGATTGGATTGCATTTGTGGAGTTCCCAGAGAAGACCAATGTGCCTTGCCCTGTGTGTTCCCACTACTGTGTGTGTGTGCCCTGTCTCTTCTCTGGACCGTGGTCTAAGGGCATCAGAGAAGGAAGCATGGCTGTAGGGATTGAGGATTCTAGATTTGGATTTACTTCCCATAGTACACTTTGGCAAATAGAAAGAAGTCAGTTTCTTGTGTAATACAGATGTCTAATTTTTACAATACTGTTTAATTACTAAAATTATAAAACATGTTTATCCAATCATTTTGTTAGAAGCTCTGTGGAGATTTCTGATTTGTTTTAAAAATCTGATTGCAGTGGATCTCGAAATATGGCTTTAATATTCTCTAGCACAAAGTCACCTTGAACTACAGGACAGTTCCTTCTTATAGGAGGTACTTCAATGCCAGTGATCTGCATGATGGGAAATCAGATGACCATCTTGTGAGTCACTCTTCCCAGAGCTGGGAGTATATTGTTCCTACCTTAGAAGGCAACTAAAGCAAATCTGGAACATAGTTATTTGAATACTATTTAGCAGTTAGAATAAACTATTGGATCTCACTGCTTTGGTCTTCATTCATGTGGGGTTGGATTTGTTGAGATTACCAGACCAGATCTAGGTCTGATATGATAAATCACAGTGACCCAGGAGAATTTGATCCACAAATCTCCAAAGATTGTGGATCTGATCATGTGTCATATACTAAATTTTCCTAAGACTAGCATTTGGTATTCCAGAAAGTTGTCCTGGCACTTTTGAGTATTCATTTGCCAGAAAGTATAGCTCAAAGCATCTTTCTTGACCTGACTCACCTTTGTTGAAGACATTTTTGAAAAGATGTTTGATAATCGTAAATTACTTTGCTTTGTTCAAGCTAGTTTGCTTCTTTATGGCTGTGGTAAAGGCATGACCGAAAAGCAACTTGTGAAGGAAAGGGTTTATTGTATCTTACAGATGAGAGTCCTTCATCAAGAGAAATTGATGCAGGAGCTGAAGTAGGGACCATGGAGGAACACTTCTTACTGGCTTACTCAGCCTGCTTTCTTATACAGCCTTTGACCACTGCCTACAGTGGACCGGACCCTCCTACATCAATCATTAATCAAGATAATACCCTGTAGACATGCTCACAGACCAATCCGATGTGGGGGGTGGTGCAATTCCTCATTTGAAGTTCCCTCTCCCCAGGTAATTCTAGTTAGGTCAAGAAAACTGTTAAAGTTGATCTTTGTTCCTTCCAATAAATGTTTTTCTAATTAATCTTCTTTTTAAAAAGACCTCAACAGTGTTCTGTAAGTCTCAGAATATTAAGTGTTGACATTTCTTCAGTTAGCATTTTCCCCAGGTAAATGAAATTCTTTTCTTAATTCTATTTTTCATCATTTATTGCTATTTTTTTGAAATATAATTGATTTTCATGCATTGATTTTTGTATCCTGCGACTTTGGAGAACTAGTTATTAAATGAGTTAACTTTTCCCTGTAGCTGAATGCTTTGCCTTTGTTTCTCAGAGAACAAGTTCTGAGCATGCTCAGTCGCCCTGGGGTGCTAGTGGTTTTAGCAAGGCTTTCTTTGACTCCCCCTTTCTCAGATCTCTGTTAAGCTGTCTGCTTCTATTGATGTCACAGGCATCCGCATCCTGGGGTTCCACTAATTGCTCGCTAATTACTTCATTGTTTTCTATAATGTCTTAGGGCCTACATTGCTCCATGGGCTGATCCATTTCAATTCAGGCCCCTTTACAGTTTTTTTGAGTCCAGGCTTTGAGGACTTTAGGGATATATATATATTTTTTCCCCTGTGGTCCTTCTGGATAACTAATTGGGCTGTGGTTTCACCCATTGACCTCATAAAGCTACCTGCATCCTCCAGCTTACTCAGGAAAACTTTGAAAATCTCCATTTTCAAAAGCAGTCATAGTTCTTAACATGACCTATGTGAGATTTCAAATATAGACAGTTCTTGTGGGCAAAATGTCTGAGCGGTTCCTCAGGATTGGAGCTGGAGACAGTGGTCTGCATCTACTCAGCTCGCCAGTCCTCACTGGGAACCTCTCCCCTTTAGCTTCAGGCTGGTACACCAGCAGTATCTGCCCCAGTGTTCTTGGCCTGATTGCCAGAGTAGCTATCAGTCTACCAGACCTGCTCACCTGTCTGTCCCTGTAAGTGAGCCCCTGCAACACCTAGCCAAGGACACTAAATAGTCTTAGCCTACCTTCCTGCTGTCCAGACAAGACTCAGCCCTTGACTGAGACTGGAGAGGAGGGCTCTCTATCCTTCCTGCTGTTCTTGCCTCTATGGAGAGCTTCATGGTCCTAAGCCAGCGCATCAGAAGGAGGAAGGGGATGTGGCTCCCAGGAACACAGACTCTTGCTGTACTCACAGACTTAAAATGGCTGTTGTGTGAAGGTTTTAATAATTGTTTTATTAGGGACCAGGTCAACAAAGCTTCTGTCTTCTTTCTGTAATTTTTTCTGTGTATATAAATTTATTTTTAAATTATTTTTCTAATTAGTCAGCTTCCTATCTGACATCTAATTAAACAAAGCATCTCTTTATTTTTTAATGTCATTATTCCACACTGGAATGTTCACAGTCTCACATAATGTCTGTTGCCCTCTTTATCCACTGCACTGAAATCTCTTTGTCTCCAATTGTAACTGAGTCTCAACCTACATTGCACAACCGGGCGAGGTTGTCGGGCTGCTCCGCTGACACTCTGCTGTGGCACGTCACACTGCACCTGCTGACTTTCCCTAGAGCTCTGGTGTCTCTGCATATCCCTAGTGGGAGACAGGATCATCCCGTCACCTAAACCAAGATCCTCACAGTAACACCGGATGCTCACGCCACAGCCCAGACAGCTGTTACTGAGTCTCGTCTATTCTGCCTTTGAAGCATCACTGGGATGCTCGCTCACCCTTGTGAGTAGTGCAGCGCTGATGCCTGAATTCAGCGCTCTTCCTTCCCCCAGACTGTTTTTACCGTTATTGCTACAGGATCTACCACCTTGTCTGTATGCTTCCAAGTTTAGAAATTTGCATAAATACTCACCTTAGAAATGATAGTCATTTCTGAACTTGACAGAAAAGGCCTTTGTGAATGAGTGGGGATAGTAAGCATCAAGGGTGTTAGGAAGTATTGACAAAATGGTATATGTCAAGTGTGCACTTGATGTCTGGCATACGGAATGTGCTCAGTCATTGTTTTCTATTATCATTTTCACTCCCTTTCCTTCATATCTGAAGGTTTTCCTAACCATCCTGACACTGAAGTGTAGCAAGCCTTTCTCTGTCCTGCCAACCAGCTCCCAAATCACGACATGGAGACTTATTAATCATGAAAGCTTGGCCGATAGCTTAGGCTTGTTTCTAACGAGCTCTTACAACTTAAACTAACCCATATCTTTTCATCTACGTTCTTTTATGTGACTCGGTTACCTTACTTTGTAATGCTCATGCTGCTTGCTCTGCATCCCTGGTGTCTCCTCTTCTTCCCAGCATCCTCTCTTCCCTAAAAATCCTGCCTAGCTAGTGGCCATTCAGCTTTTTATTAAACCAATCCGAGTGACACATCTTCCCAGTGCATGAAAAGATTATTCCACAACACCGAAGTATGCCCCATCCCAGCCACAGGGAACTGATTTTGTTCTCCCCATTCACTCTTCTGCCTTTGAACTTGATACTGCCTGCTGGATTTCCCAGCGCCAGGTTTCCATGAAGGCTGAGACTTACTGTACAACACTTGATATTTTTAGATGTGTCAGTTTATTTTTTCATGTACTGCTTTAGAAGGCCAGTGCCCAGGTTTTTTTTATCCTGTATTGCCAGCTCTGTGCTGCTGATGACGGTAAAGTTATATAGTGCTCACCCAGAGCACAGTGGGCCAGGTTATCTTCCTTGCTTGCTTTGTATGTATTTCATTGTGTAACTTTGCTGTGGTATGGATACTTTTTATATTTAAAGAGTATTTACATTTACATTTGAGTTGTTTCATCAAGTATACGGATTTTTTTACATGCCAATTAATATTTATATATTTTAACAAAATGTTCACCCCATGAATGTAGGCTAAAAGTCTCTGACATAATGGAAATGGTACTAGGGTGTTTTTTTGTTTTTTGTTTTTGTTTGTTTTTTTTTTTTTGTTTTTTGTTTTTTGTTTTTTAGCTGCCTCTAATCGTAGATTAGGTACCTATAATTTAGACCCCCTGACATGCATTTATTAGAAATGATCAACTATTGGTTATTGAAAGAGGAGGTGGTTCTCACTCTGACTAAAAGACAATGCCATTTTAGAGGGGGTGTAGATGAGGTAGGTGTAAAAAGAATCCACAGCGTGTTTGTGCTCAGACAATTCTCAGAAGTCAGATCTCTCCTTCCACCATGGGTCTTGCAGCAGGGGAGGCAGGCACAGTCATTGCTTTTATTCACTCAGCCATTTTGCCAATACAACTGTGCCCTTGTGTGTGGGGGTGGGGGGTGGGGGAAGCTAACACCTGGGTTAGAGTGGGTGATAAACTGGAAATAGCATGAATAATTCTGGAAGGAAAAGAATGAACATTATTTAATGGCATTTTTTTTCAACTACATTATTGTCGATGAGTCTGAGCATTTCTGAGATGGAGAGAAGCCATGCCTATTGTCATTGAGCATGATTTTCAAAACATCTAACTGATTTTAGAAGAAGGGAGACTTTAAAATTATAACAATAACTGAAGAGACGTGTATGTTACAGATAAAATTTATAAAAATAGCCATGCTTTCTATGGAGAATTGAGACAAAGACACTTCTCAATGGTATTTTGTCAAAACTCTCTCCTTAATTCCCCCACAGACTGTATTTTTGAATAATCATGGCTCTGTTTACAAAACACCTGTGGTTGGGGTTTCACCTTTAAAAAAAAAAATGGAGACAAGTTCCATTTCTTCATTAGGGACTTTTCTATTTTCCTCTGTATTTGTTGCTGCATTTTTCTCTCAATGTTTTGCTAATTTGGGAGCATCTATAAGAGAAATAACTTAATGTTGCTAAAGACCAGAAAGGCTGTGTCCTGGTTCAGTGAGTAAAGTACTTACACACCACCATGTCCTGTTTTGATGGGAGTTCTGGGGGCTTGAACTCAGGTCCTCACTACTTAGTTTTCTGATTTAAAGAATAGTATACGTCCAATAAACAGAACTTAGAAAATGCCAAGCATTACCAGAAAATTATTGAAATTATGGGAAAATATAATAAAAAATCCCTGCTATCCTATTTTATTTTAATTTTATACTGAGGATTGAACCCAGCCTATCACAGATGCTAGACAAGTGCCGATTGATATTCCTACCTCATGGTGAGTTTTTAGTTTAAGAAGTGGTGTTGTCCATCTCACCTTGAACTTATAAAACTTCTATGTGCTGGAGGAATAGGTATATGCCACCACACCCTGGTGCCAGTCTCTCTCTTCAGTGAGCATCTATTCTTTTAAGGCTTTCTCCATTAACTATTTCACCAAATTGACATCACATAAGTGATTGATAACATTAAGTTATTCACTCGGGTACACTTCCTTCTAGAATCTATATCTTCTTACTCTAGCTTATGCCTATTGTTTCTCTGGTTATGAATTGTAACTGATAACTAACTGCACACAATATTTGGATCTAACACTGACTTCTGAAGGCTTCTATATGTGCCCATTATTTGTAGCAATCACACCTACCTTATCAGTGAGGTAAAGCCTTCTCAGAAAGCAGATGTAACAGGGCCTGATATGTACAAGTATTTCATACTTGTTAATAATCTCATTACCAAAAAAATCCATTTTTTCTTTTAAAAATCATTCTGCTATTACTTATTTGTGAGTTCATGACAAACATATATAACTACATTTACCAGAAAAATCGGGATTTTTAACTTTATGGACATGAAGGCAAACATTGCCTGGACACATTAAAATTTTTCAAATAGAATAGAAATAAAACAGTATTTTAAATTAAAAGAGATGAAAGTTAAGATTTCTGTGATTTAAAGAAATTACGTAAAGTCAAAGCTCATCAACAGCCCTTGATAGATCTCTAGCCATTGGCTAAAGTCATGGGCCTGACAAACAATGTTAGTACAATCTGCCTCCGTCCTCCAATGCAGGCAGTTGAGCCTTGTGGTTTAGGGTTTGGTGGATGCCAGTTTAAGATTTATCTTCATAATAGAATTTTGAGTCTGGATTTATTGAAGTGTGAACTCTTTAAGTTTTTTTTTGTTTTGTTTTTTGTCCTGCCAACAGAAGCTACGTGGGAAATAAAGTAGTCACAAACATAACTGAAGCATGTGCTTTTTTTGCCAGAAGAAAGTAAAGACCCAAACCTAGTGTCCACATTCCTTACAGCTTCAACACAATGCCTTTTTTCTAACTCTTGTTACTTTTTGTATTTTGTGTAGTTCAAGTCTACATCACTTTTTATGCAAACTGCATCTGAGGTTATCTAAGCATCTTTGTTAGAAGTCAAGAAACTTCCTTTCACAGTGGTCTTCTGTGGAAGTGGCTGTGTCACTATTGACAACATAGCTTGTGTTTCGTGTAGTTATTCAAGTTTGGGACTTTTTGTGTGTTTTTAAAGTGTCCCGTGTGTTTAATATTTTGTTACTATTTTTATTTCTTTACTTGAGAATACTATGTTTCAGAATTATAAGGTCTCTACACTATTTTAATAAAGTGAGCATGTATTCATTCTGCAAGACCTCACTAGTAAGGTACTGTACACACACACACACACACACACACACACACACACACACACACGAGCAATGATACATTTTCTGATGGAAATAAAGAGATTTCTGATACATTTGATTAAAGAAATTTCAAATAATTGCTTAAGACATTTTAATGTGAGAATATGTCATTTGATCTAAGACCTCCTCTGTTAATTGGGGTGCTTCTGGCCAGGGATTCGTCCACTATTTCTACTCTCAACTGCTTTTCACCCAAGAAATGTTTATGTGACCAAGAGAACATAGCAATAAAAACTAGGTGTACAAATAAAATTTTAACTTAATAAATCATAAAAAATTTAAAACTGACTTAATTTTATGTGTATTGTCTGTGTGTACTAAATGCAGCATGTGCATTCAGTGCCCATGGAGGCCAAAGCAGAGCATCAGATGCTCCCAGGAACTGGAGTTACAGACAGGTTTTAACCACCAGATGAGTGCTGGGAACTGAACCCAGGTCCTCTGCAAGAGCACCAAGTACTCTTAACTGCTTAAGCCATTTCTCTGTTTCCAGGAAATTTATTTTTAAATGGTTCTTTGACATACATATATTTTTTCTATTTATTAAAGATGAAAACTAATTTGCATATGAGATGGTGTATTTGTTTATTTTACATGAATAATTATATAGCAGCTCAATGAATATTTGATACTATAAAACATAAAGCATCTTCAATGTTTTTCAGGATTGATATTTGAGCACCACTGAATATGTACTAAAAAACAGCAGAAATAATTATGGAGCCATTTCAGAAATTGTTAGAAACTCCGTCCTAATCCAAACTGAAATTAATTTAATGAATTTTCATTAAAGTCAGAATCAACTACTCATACAGCAGTTTTAAGAACCCAACGTTCTAACATAATACAACCCATTATACTAATAGACAACGTGCTGAGAAGTGACAGTTGGGAAGCATTCTCTCTGCATTTTCTATAATCAGACCACTCAGTCTGTAACATGCGCAGCACAGTGAAAACTGCAGTTTGTAACATTGAGAGGGGCCAGATTTGAGCCCAGGTATATCAGGCAGTCATGGTGAGCATGCTGGCATGTGCAGTGTGAGGTGTACATGTGGTATGCCAAGAAACAAGACTGCAGTGAAGTCTGTAGGACAACATGGGCCAGCGCTGGGAGACTAACCTCGGATTTGTTACAGGTGTGGTTCTGAATTCCTTTTTGGTCATTGCATGTTCAGAAGCTTTTTACCATTGTCTGATTTTTTTTTTGCAACCCCTACATTCAATAACATGACCCCATGTGGGCTTTTGACCCACGATCTATGAGTCTATGAGAGCTGGAGTACCAACCAATTGTAAGACTGCTATTCAGTTTACTTAGTCAGTAAGGGTTAATTTCAGTTTTTCCAAATATCCAGTGGAGGTTGGTGGGAGCTTTGATCATCATAGCAACTCAGAGATGTGGGGGAAAAAAAGGCTCTCTCATTTTCACCTCCATAAATACTGGGGCAAGGAAAGGAGGTAACCATCACATGCATAGTGGCTAGAATGGCCAGCACAACACTTACATCCTTGTTTTATAGGCTATGCATGCCACACGCTATAGTTATATCTTCAGAAGGGACAGAGATTTGTTTCTTTTCTGAAAAAAAGGGCAAGTTGAGTTTGACAGGCAGCATTAAGAACCAGGACAAGCCAGAAGAATGAAAGGACCTGGCCATTGTCTTTAGGGACCTGGACATTGTAGGGAACTGGACCTTTTAGGGTCCTGGTCATTTTAAGAGTTAGAGAAAGAAGTTTCTTATAAAGGAGTCTTCATAGGAACGACTTTAAGTTTGGAGAGAATTCAATGTGCTTGAATGATTTAAGACAAGGAAAGGCACTGGACTGTTGTAATAGTTCTCTACATAGCTGAATATCTACTAGCATTATCCTGGACACTTTTATGCCACCCATGAAAATACTGTGTAGTGTTGGTAGCTACTATGAGTATAGTTTTCTAATATTTATCATTGCATTTTTCACTATTTTTCAGAAGAGGTATTTTTTTCTGTTCTTCAAATTTTTGTTTGTGCTGACTATGCAGATACATGGAATTAGAATTTATGGGTTTTTTTTTTTTTAAGTGGGGAGTGTCTTAACTTAATATTAAGTGTATTGGGTTTTAAGAACAACCATGGTTTGTTTGTTTATTTTCTCCAAGTTGACTTGTCTGTGACAGCCCCTAGCAGAGAAAGAGGTCTTCAGATAAAAACTCTGGGGTAAGGGACTTTAGAGTGGGTAGTATATCATTCTCAATGTGACTTTTTAAATACATGATTCCAGGAAATACATGTTTATTGTCTTGCAGTTACACATAGAGAAATGTCTCTAAGTAAGTCATATATGTTAATTATTGATTGGATTCAGTCCTGAAAAATAAGATTGGCTCAAGACAACTCTGTTCTTACGAAGGTGGACTTCAGTATCAGACTTAGGACTTCAAAAGCACGGCATGCCGGGGTTCAGGAAATGGCTCCATGGATCAGAGTGCTCTCTGCGTAGTCACCAGGACCTGAGTTTGATCCCTCAGCACCCCCACAAAAAGACATGTATAGTTAGTTAGTCCGCGGTGCATGTAGCCCCAGGGTTGTGGAAGGCTGAGACAGGAGGATGATTGTGGCCTGCTGGCTGCTAGCCAAGCTGCAGGTTCAGTGAAAGACTCCATATGAAAGGGATATGATGTAGAGGATACAGCAGGACAGGGTGTGTGCACAGATGCATGCAACCCCAGACACATATGTGCAAATACACCACATGTACATACAACACACACATGCGCACACACACACACACACATTTCTCTCTCTGTCTCTCTCTCTCTCTCTGTCTTTCTCTCTCTCTCTCTCTCCAAGAATGAAAATGGCTTCTGATCATTTTTTCCTCCTCTCTGTCCTTTATGAGTAAGACTTGATCGATATAATAATTTGTATTTTCTTTTCATTCCTAACTTTTCTTCCTTACTAGAAATAGTGAATGTTACCCATGCACAGGGCACCTAAGCGCCTTCTGGTACTGCCAAAGTATTAGATCTTAAAGCCAGGACTCCACACACACTAGTCAAGTATGCTGCCCATTGATACATAACTCCAGCCTGTGTCATTACTAGCCTTTACATTTTGGAAGTGCTGAGTTGTTTTTTGTTTGTTTGTTTGTTTTCTCAAAATATTTCAGCTTTTATTGTGGCCCTTTTAGGATTTGTGCTTAGAAGTAAGTGACACTTCATTGCCATGTGTTCAAATATGGAATATTATTAGTGAGCTTAATAATTACAATACAGTTTCAAAAGTCCTTAGTTATCCATGATGTTACTGAGAGAGAAAATGTTGTTAAAAACAAATATACTCTAAAATGAACGCATACAAGATTGTGAAAGCTGTAATTCTGTGGAAATCTGAAACAGCATCAACAAAACCAGGAGAAATGGGCTTCTCCATTGAACAGTCTCAACCCTGCCCCTGCCCTTGCCCATTCATCCTCAGCAGTGTGTTAGATAGCCCAGTCAGTCACCAGCCTCCACTGCAGATACTGTGAAAAATGTTATGTCCCCACATTTGAGTCAGATACCACTGCAAGATTGAAATGCAATCATGGAGCCTCTTCTGCCAGCCAGACTTGTCTACTCTATAAATATTATGATTTTGAGAAGTATTACTACATACTTAAATTTTTCCAGACATTTTTACTTAAAATGTTGAGGCATTGATTCATATAAAATATTAAGATTTTCTGATCACCCCCAATGCAGTCTATTTTTCAGAGCCTGGAACACTATTTGGCATTCAAAGTCATTATATTTTATGTGCTCACAGACTTACCTGCCCTAAGTATTTCATTAAGGTTTTCACATAGACTTAGTGGGAATTCAGGATTTAGAAATGGGCAGATGCTAAGTTTTCCAGTGTCTATTAAGAGAGTGCATTTGGGTCAGGTGGTGGTGACGCACGCCTTTAATCCCAGCACTTGGGAGGCAGAGGTAGGCAGATCTCTGTGAGTTCCAGGCCAGCCTGGGCCACAGAGTGAGTTCCAAGAAAGGCACCAAAACTACACAGAGAAACCCTGTCTTGAGGGAAAAAACAAACAAACAACAAAACAACAAAAAACAAACAAACAAACAAACAAACAAAAAAGAATGCTTTTGGATGGGCAGCGTCTTCCAGGTTGAAACATCAGCCAACCTTCGGTGGTTTACAAGATCATCTCTTATTTTTGGCTAGAGTCCGTTGCCTCTGTGCCTCCTTGAATACTTTCTTTCACAAAGTCCTTTTCCTCCTGTCAACCTCAAGCCAGTGCATCCCACCAGATCCTTGGTTCTTATCTTTGGAAAGCTCATGTCTGTGTCATCCAGACAAATCAGTGTGCTGGAGACAGAGAAGTGTCTGTGAAGGATTCCAGCAGGTGCAAAGGCCTCTGCAAGGGTTAAGCCTCTTTAAATGGCCTAATGATGGCTAAGACCCTTTGAGCATCCCAACATTGCGGGAGATGTGGGGAAGATTAAAATTTGGAACTCCACTGGAGAATACAGCTAGTGTGGCTGTGCTTAAACTTCTAATCAAAACCCAGACACAAGGGCAGAGAATGGCTGCTACTTGTAAACGCCACCCCCTAACTTCAAAAATTAGAAACGGAAAAAAAAATTATAAAGTTTCAAAGTTATCACTAACATTTTAAACTTTAAAAATTTCCATTGTCTGTAAGTCGACACATGTTTCAGTTTGAGTTCTCAGTTGACAAAAAAAAAAAAAAATCTTCCAGAGATAAGAATTTAGCCTCTGTAATTAAAGATAGCAAGAGGAATATTGTGTAAGGGTGATGACCATGTCACAGGACAGGACGAGAGTGGAGACTGGGTGCCGAGGAAGGGAGGCAGGAAACCCACCCAGGTCCTTCCTCTGCACCTTGCTGGCTTCATTGTCCTCTTGTGCGAGAAAAATATGCCAGTGTGTGGCTTTGGATGATTCTCCCACCAAGAGTCTCACCGTGGAAATCTCTCCCAGTTGAAAAGCAGCTTTGGACCTAAGACAAGTCAGATGTATCCACACAGCTCAGGATTTATTTTGAGTGTGAGCTTTGGGAGATGTAGGAATCCTTGAAATGTAGGTTGCAAAAAGTGTTAGGGACAGTTCAGTGGACCTTTAGCTGTTCAATTTTTAGCTCCAGTTTGGTTAGAGCTCTTTTTATGTGTAGCGTTTGATTTTGCTCCTAAAAGGTATGATCATTTAAGGAAATCCACCTTATAGGTCTTGATATTTTCTGTCTGTATAGGAAACAAAGTTGTCTGCAGTTACTGGAGAATTGGGATAGTATTCTAAATCACTGGAAGGAAAATAGACAAAAGCCTTACATACCAAAAATGAAAACATGGTGTGTGTGATTATAAGTTCAAAGATTTTTTCCAATAATAAATTGATGTTGTTTACTAAGTAAGGGGAGAAGATGGTAAATGGTTGATTGATAAGAAAGATAATAGATGGTAGGTGATGGATAAATGATAGATGATTGATAGGTGGTGGATAAATGATACATAATTGATAAATGATACATGATTGACAGAAAATGGATGCACAGATACATAGATGATATACAATACACAGATAGGTAATATATAGATTGATAGGTAAATAGATACTACAGTTTAATAAGAATCATACTTTTCTCAATATTGAGGACAGCTAAAAGTACACCTATGAGCAATCTAAACCCCGAATAGACGTTTTAAAAATTGATTGAGTATGAGATGTTTTTGTATCTCTGAATGTTAGCGACATTTGGAAACATGGATACCCAACTAGATTTTCTTCCATGTGCATCACTAGGTGGGGCGGCCTCTCACAAGAGAGACCAGAGAAGCTGCAGGGAGATAATCTGAGCAGATAACCTCCGGGATAATCAGAACCCCCTGGCTGTGTCCTGTCCAGGTTA